CAAGGTGAGCGCTTTACCACTTGAGCTACAGCGCCACTTCCGGTTTTCTGGTGGTTTATTGGAGATAGGAGTCTCACGGTCTCTCCTGCCTGGGCTGGCTTTGAACTGCGATCCTCAGATCTCAGCCTCCTGAGTAGCTAGGATTACAGGCGTGAGCCACCAGCGCCCGGCTACATTATTTCTTTGTGGCAAAACATTTAAAATCCTTTGATCTCGCTTTGTGAAATACATAATGCATAATTGTTTCCTGTCAAGTGTAAGAGTGTACCAGAACTTATTTCTACCTAATTCCAAGCTGGCACTCACCTCTAATTCATGGACATGCGGTGTTTCACACCTCCCATGTTTTATCATCTTCACTGTACAGATCTCTCACTTCTTTCATTAAACTTAGTACTAGCTATTTTAATTTTTGTATTTGATTTCTCATTCAGATAATTAGCTGTTAGCATACAGCAATGCAACTGATTGCTGTATATTTATCTTGTATTTTGCAACTTTGCTGAATTCATTGACCAGGGTTTTTCTCTGTCTTCTTGGCAGTTCTAGGGACTAAAACCAGGGCCTTTTACATGACAGGTAAGCACTCTCCCAGTGCAGCCGTGCTCCTGACTCTCATTTATTCATTTTTTAGTGTGTTGTGGTTTTTTTTTGTTGTTGTTTTTGGGGTCCGGTTGTGGGGCCTGAACTCTGGGCGCTGTCCCTCAGCTCTTTAGCTCAAGGCTAGCGCTCTACCACTTGAGCCACAGCGCCACTTCCAGCTTTTTTCTTTTTGCTTATGTGGTGCTGAGGAATCGAATCCAGGGCCTCATGTATGCAAGGCAAGCGCTCTACCACTGAGCCAGCTTCCCAGCTGTTGTGTTTTTTTTGATGCTATGGGGGGGGGCATTGCTATATATAAGAGCATGTCATCTGAAAGCGATGACTATTGGACTTTCTTTTTAAGAACCTTTCATTTCTTTATTTTGCCTGAAATAGACCTTCCATGACTGCAAAAATGGATAGCATTGTCTTGTATCAGTTCTTTAAAGAGAAAGCTTTCAGCTTTTTCCCATTCAGTATAATGTTAGCTAGGGTCTTATTATAAATTACCTGTTAGGTGGAGATACATTCCTTAAGTACCTTATTTGTTTAGTGTCTTTCTTATAAAGGGATGTTGAATCTAATGACAGGCCTTTGAGATGAATGTGTGATTCTTGTCCTTCATTCTGCTGCTGCTGTGGTGTATCTCTTTCCTTGATTTCTATGTTTTGAACCATTCTCCTATTCCTAGGATGAATCCACTTGTCTTTGTAAATAATGGTTTTAGTGTGATATTGGATTCAATCTGCTAGTTTTTGTCAATCATGAGGCTTGAACTTGGGGCCAGGGTGTTGTCCCTGAGTTCTTTTGCTCAAGGATAGTGCTCTACCACCATGAGCCACAGCTCAAAGTTTTTGAGCGGTTACTTGGAGATAAGAGTCTCATAGACTTTTCTTCCCTGGGCTGGCTTCCAGCGGCGATCCTTAGATCTCAGCCTCCTGAGTAGCTAGGATTACAGGTGTGAGCTACCAGTGCTTGGTTCTATGTTCATCAAAGGTATTGGCCTATGGCTTTCATTTTTGGCTTTGTCCTTGTCGTGGTATCAGGAAAGGTAATGATTAGCATAATAGAATATGTTGAAGAATCTCTTCCTCTTCACTTTCTTTTTGAATAATTTAGCAAGAATTATTTTTTATTTTTCTAGTGGTACTGAGGATTAAACTGAAGACACTGCACTTGTGAGGGAAACATTCTACCATTTGAGCAATGTCTCCAGATCCTTTTGATTTTTGTTTGCTTCTCAGGCTTTCTTTATGCAGGCCAGTCTCAGACCTCAATCATCCGACCTCCATTTCCAGTCAGCTGGGGCCCAAGATGTGTACTATGATCAGGCCCAGCTTGTTAAGATAAAGACTTGGTTGGGGATGTGGCTTAGTGGTAGTGGGCTTGCCTAGCATACATGAAGCCCTGAATTTGATTCCTCAGTACCATATAAACAGAAAAGGACTGAAGTGGTGCTATGGTTCAAGTGGTAGAGTGTGAAAGAAGCTCAGGGACAGTGCCCAGGCCCTGAGTTCAGGCCCGAGTACTGGCAAAAAGAAAAAAAAATATAAAGCCTCATTAAATTTTGTTCAGGCTGGCCTATCTCTATCTCTACCTATTACGCCTATCTCTACCTCCCAAGTATCTGGGATTATAAGAATGGATCACCCAGAGTGGCCTATTTATCAATGTTTGGTAAAACTTAGCAGTGAAGCTGGCTAGTTATGGAATATTCTTTAATAGAAGACTTTATTATTATTATTACTGATTCAAACTTGATCTTTGCTGTTAGTTCAAGTTTCCTGTGATTCACTTGTGGAAAGATGTGCGTAACAGGAAGTTGGTCCACTTCTTCTAAGTTATCCAATTTCTGACATTGAGTTGGTCATAGTAATGGCCAAGTCATTTATATCTCTGTGATATGCAATATAATGTCTCCCTTTTCTTCTCTGATCTTATTTGAATCTTCTTTCTTTTCTTAGTCTTGCTAAGCGCTTGGTAGTTTCACATTATGTAAATGCTACTGCATTGTCTCACTTATTTTTCTGTGTACGCAGACCTACCTGTATTTCTAAGATTTGCTTTGTGTACACCTTGTTTGCTGTTTCTAACTCCTGTATATTAATCAATACCTTTACCACATTATCCACTCTAACAGTAATAAAGCCTCCAACTCTTTGCCCACAATAAAATTGCAGTTTGAAAAAAATTAAGCATTGCAACAGCATGTGTGAGTCGGCTGGATTTGGTCTTTAGTCCAGCCAAATTGGGCTATAGCATCTTAATCTAGACAAACTGTGCTCAAAGGAGTTCTTCCGGTTCCCTCCAAAAGTTAAACTGCATAGAAACTAGCTATTTAGTAGACAGAGGTGGTGAGAAGCAAAGTCAGATTATCATACAGAAAGCCCTAGGCTACACCCTTAAGTGAAAACACGCTTGTTTGAAAGCACCTTTTAAACTAACTGTAGATTAGTAAATTGTCGGAATAGAAGCCAGATTCTACCTTTCTTTCAAGTCAGTTCCTGCTGCTGCCTTTGTGTCATTCTCCTCTCTAGCAGCTTGTCTGAGAGGTGTGCCTGGTCCAAGGCAGGTTTTAAAGAAGGGAAGTTGTATGAAAAGCACCTGAACATCACTGGAGACTCCCAAGGGCAAAGGTAACTTCCTTGAGATCCTCTAAACATCCCAAGCCGCAGGGATACTGGGAGGGAACATACTTGCGTCTTTCACCAGCACCTTGGGCATGCGTTGACGATTCATCAGGAGTGGGAAGGGATCTCTCCCGTCGTTCCGCTCATGCACCTCTCGGATCTCCACGGTGTCATCCATGAGATAGTAGTGAATGACATAGGTGCGACACTCACCAAACATGCTGTCGGTATCATCCCAGATGGCATAGAATCGAAGAACCTTGGTGGAATCCAAAGGAAGACTTAAGCCAGACTCCCAGAACCAGAGGGAACCTGGCCCACAAGCAAACGTTCACTAAAGATACCGAAACATCTGAGATTCTGTATCAGATACCAAAGCTGGAAAAAACAATGTAAGCTTTATAGGTTTGTGGTAAGAAAGAACTTACTTTGACCCAAAACATTAGTCACTCAATAGAAACTGAATTAGAAGGACAATGGAGTTCTTTATAAGGTAGTTCATGAGGATGAACAGAGATTCATGGTAAGTAATGGTGTATATTATAACCGGCATGGTTATATATAGTCTTTTTTTCTAGTTGTAGTAGGAAACATTCTCTAAATAGTATCATTATAATCTTTAAAAATGAAGTAGTAGTAGTAGTTATATGATTGAATAAAAATGTCTTTAGAAGGCCATGTTAGCATAAGGTGAAATTTTGTTGTTGGTCATGGGGCTTGAACTCTGGGCCTGGGCGCTGTCCCTGAGCTCTTCAGCTCAAGGCGAGCGCTCTACCACTTGAGCCACAGAGCCACTTCCAGTTTTCTGGTGGTTAACTGGAGTTAAGAATCTCACGGACTTTCCTTCCCAGGCTGGCTTTGAACCGTGATCCTCAATCTCACCCTCCTGAGTAGCTAGGATGACAGGCGGGAGCCACTGATACCTGGCATGAGGTGAAAATTTCTGAAGTAAAAGATGTTATCTTTCTAGGGGACAAAGAGCAGCAGAGATAGAGTAAAGGTGATCTCCATCTTCTCTTTTACCCTCCAGTAGGAAAGAAGATGCTAACTGTGTACACAACATCAGCTCGCAAGAGGGAGAATTAGGAAGGTTGGATCAGGGTTAGAAAATGTTTCCAACATTCTGTACACCAACATTAACATAACACCAAACAAGAAAGCAATTCAGTGTGTTTCTGTGAAGCCATTTTAACATTAGTAAATTATTAAAGACTTAAATGTAGACAGTGAAAAATATGTTTCAAACAGTTACCAGTGTAGCTCGTACACACCATGTGTCACTAGCCTGGCTCACGCACCTGTTTGTCGAAGGTTAGGAACTGTTTGAGCTGATCAAAGTCAGAAGGGGTGACGTACTTCCGCAGAGGCTGTTTCCGGAGTTCAATGTAAGGGTCCAGAGCCATCTTCTCTGGCGGATTTAATTCTATTCCTTGACTCTCCAAAAAATCCTAAATATTTCAAAATAAATATCCATTTTAAGGGCTTCTTTTCACTTTGGCTGCAGTGGGACTGGAACTCAGCCACTTTTCAAATAAGCTCTCGGGGTGTTGCCCAGGGCGGGCTGGGCTGCAGTTTCCCAGGAACCCCTCGCGTAGCGGGGGTGGGTGGTGGGCACACACTGCCAAGTGCCAGCTTATTGGTTAAGATAAGTCCTTGCAGCTGGGCATGGTGGCTCAAACTTGCAATACAAGCTCTATAGGAGGCAGAGGTCAGGGGATCAGGTCTGAGACCAGACGAGGCATAAAAGTTGGTGCGACTCCATCTCAACCACTGGCTAGATGCAGCGGAGCATGGCTGTGAGCCCTGCTATAAAGGAAATACAGTGACTGCACAGAGTGCATGCCTGTCAGTCCCAGTGGTCATCCCAGTGACACAGAGAAGCAAAGTAGGAGGACTCTACCTTGAGAAAAGGGCCCGCAGCCATGGTTCAAGTGGCAGGGCACATACCTGGCAAGTACAAGGCCATGAGTTCAATCCCTAGTTTTACCACCAAAACCAAAACAATCCCCACAAAATGCCCTGGAATTACCATTTTCTCTGGCCCTCAAGTAGTTGGGATTACAAGTGTGAACACTACCATCTTAGAGCTTATTACAGTACAGATAGATTGATGATATAAAAATACATTTACTAAGTTTTATGTCATTGCTCAAATTAGTCTTCGGTTTGCAGCTTCTTCATGTATGGAAATAGTATCTTCAAGTTAATACAGCTCTATAAGGCAGATAGTAATTTATAATTACGTTAAGCATTCTATGTGATAAAATTGCTAGATATGCTGGGCACTGGTAGCTCACCTCTGTAATCCTAGATTCACAGTAGGCTGAGATCTGAGGATCATGGTTTGAAGCAAACCCAGGCAGGAAAATCTATGTGACTGTTCTCTCCAATTTTTTTTTTTTTTTTAGTCAGTTGGGGTCTGAACTCTGGGCCTGGGCACTGTCCCTCAGCTCTTCAGCTCAAGGCTAGAGTTCTATCACTTGAGCCACAGTGCCACTTTGGGGGTTTTCTGCTTATGTGGTGCTGAGGAATCGAACCCAGGGCCTCTTGCATGCAAGGCAAGTGCTCTACCACTGAGCCAACTTCCCAGCCCTTGTTCTCTCCAATTTACCACCAAAAAGCCAGAAATGGAGCCCCAAAACCAACACACACACACACACACACACACACACACACACACATACACACACACACTGCTAGATCTGTTAAGGTAGCTGGAAAATATGATGGTAATAAGATGCAAATAAGAATTGGGTAATTGCTAGGCTTGCTTCAATACCGGAATCTAGCCAAATTTCAAACAACATGTAGTTCATGTTTGCTAGGGGAGCAAGCGCACAATGTCAGGGTAAGCTGAAGTCCTATTCCTAACTCCTAAACTCACTTAAGTTCTTCCCCTAACTGAAAAGAAAGCATGTCCACTGGCTACTTCATTTTTTTTTTTTTCGGTTATGGGGCTTGAATTTAGGTCCTACGCTCTATCCCTGAGAATTTTGCTCAAAGCTAGTGGCTCTACCACTTTGAGCCACAGTGCCTCTTCCGGTTTTCTGGTGATTAACTGGAGATAGATAGGAGTCTCTTGGACTTTCCTGCCTGGGTTTGGCTTTGAACTACGATCCTCAGCCTCCTGAGTAGCTAGGATTATAGGCGTGAGCCACTGGCGCAAGGCTCCATGCTGGCTATTTTAGACTAGGATGTTTCGGCATGAGAGGAAAGCTAAACCAAGTGCTCAGATCTCAGCAGAAAAATCCAAGGAAGGTATCCGCATTTGACCACATCTCCAAATTTATTTTGCTAATGACAAATTATTTTCAGAGTCACATTTTGTTTGGGGGGGTCAAACTAAGGGTTTTTAATTTGACTTTCTAGGCAAGTACTCTTAACACTCTGCCACACCTCTAGCCCTTTGGGGTTCAGTTGTTTTTCAGATAGGGTTTTACCAGGGCTGGCTCTGGACTACCACATGCCTACCTTTGCCTCCTTTCTCTCCTGACCAGGCATAGTGGGGCATTCCTGTAATCTCTGCTACAGTAAGTATAGAAACCGCTATTAAAACTTCTATTAAAACTATCCAGCCAGAGTTTATGACTAGCAACAAAATTTTTCCTTGAAAGGATTAGTATAATAGAATTATTGAAGCCAGGCACCTGTGGCTCACGCCTATAATCCTAGCTACTCAGGAGGCTGGGATCTGAGGATCATAGTTCAAAGC